GAAACTTTCTTACCTCAGTATAACTGCAAAAATGCACACAATAATATATAAAAAAAGTGCCTGAAGTCTGGAGTTGAGGGGCACTTCAGGAAGGACAACAGCAACCCACAGCATGTTACTTTGCCACCATTAAAATCCCATTTTTCCCTTTTTCAGCTACGTGCCTGCTGCATTTTGTCTTATTAAGGAGAAGATAGCTATGGCTGCAGGGATGCTCAATGCTCAAGACAGATCTGAATCAAAAAAGTCCAATCTCCACTACTACCACTGATGGCTCTATTGCTCCTGTAGCCTTTTCCAAGGATCCTTCCCATTGCTAAATGAAGTGGAATTCTCCAGCTCACTGTTACCAAACACAACACTGTGATTTCTCTGGAAACCCATGAAATGCTGCTGGCTCCATTAATGCACCATCTTGCTCCTGATAAAGTCTTTGACAGCTGTTTTGGACAGCAGGCCAAGACCTCATCACACGAGTGCAGCCTTTCGTGTCTGTGCAGCCTTTTTCCCAAGTTTATCTATGGCCTAAAGCTTCTAAAGCTTTGCACTGGCCCGAACTGCACAGTCGTTTCGAGCACTGCATTAAAACACCATTCAGTGCTACAAAAGGAACAATGGATGGTTCCAGGCTGCAGCTCCATGGCAAATGAGCCAGTGTGGCTCAGGAGATAAGAGGCAGTTGCCAGAGATGAATATAAGCATTATTTATATTGAATTTATATTATTTGTTTATGAATGTGGTGCTGTTGATTGCCAGAGGTGCAGCCAGAGAGGATGGCAGTTCCCCTGCAGGGTCTCAAATCAAGCCCATGATTGCCATGGTGCCACAGCCATGAGAGGCAAAACAAAGTAGTCTTGATTTCTCCCTGCAAAACCAGACCTCCCCTTGACTGCCCTCTCCTTAATTTCAGAAAGAGCTGTAGCTCCAGCAACATTGGGGTGTTGATAGCATGGTCAGACACAACCTTTAAACAATAAACTATGATTTACTGAATGATGAGAAAAGCTGAAGGCACGTAATGCTTTATAGGCTCTTTCTGAAAAACCACATGCTCATCCCATAATCCCTGTAACATCCCAAGGATGGGCACTGACTACACACCAAGTCTTCCACCCTGAAGTTTGGCTCACAGCTGTTTATTTACTCCTACCTATGGCTCTGCTTGAGCAGGTGCTGCTGCCACACACCTTGAACGCTCCTGGGTAAAATAAAGTGAAATGTAATCTTCTCTCTGTTGGGAAGAACTTGCTGAGATGAAGATGTCAGCACCAGCAATTGCTGGCATGCAGGAGGCTCTGATTTTAATTGCTGGAATCCTACCTCCACACTGGACTGCAGTGTTACATTTAACCCCTTACCTGATCTAAATCAAAGATTCACAGACTGTTTAAGTTGGGAGAGATCTTAAAGCCCATCCCATTCCAGCCCCTGTCATGGGCAGAGACACCTTCCACTAGCCCAGGCTGCTCCCAGCACTCTCCAGTCTGGCCTGGAACACTTCCAGGGATGGGGCAGCTGCAGCTTCCCTGGGCAACCTGTGCCAGGGCCTCACCTCCCTCACAGGGATCCAATTCTTCCCAATATCCCATCTAACCCTACCCTCTTTCAGATTGAAGCTATTTCCCCTTGTCCTATTACTCCAGGCCCTTGTAAAAACTCACTCTAGAGCCTTTTTGTAGGCCCCCTTCAGGCACTGGAATCCAGTTCTTGGATTCACCAAGATCATCCAGCAGAATAATTATATGGGGACAAGAATAAAAAAATCTTGACTTTATTAAGAGAAACACAGTTTTAAACTTTAAAATGGCATGTTATTCCTGAGGGAAAAGCCCAACTCAACTCCTGGGGCAAAGCCATCAAGAGGAAGTCCTAAGAGAGGAAGTACAGTGTGAATAAACATAAAGGAGGTGGTTGCCAGTTGCAGCTTCTTCAACACTGCTGGGAGAAGAGAAGCTTTCAGGGAGACCTCAGAGCCCATTCCAGTGCCTAAAGGGGTTCCAGAAGAGCTGGAGAGCGACTGGGGACAAGGCATGGAGGGACTTTGGACAAAGGGGAAAGGCTTCCCACTGCCAGAGGGCAGGCTTAGATGGATATTGGGAAGGAATTCTTCCCTGTAAGGGTGGTGAGGCCCTGGCACAGGTGCCCAGGGAAGCTGCAGCTGCCCCTGGATCCCTGGAAGTGTCCGAGGCCAGACTGGACAGTGCTTGGAGCAACCTGGGATAGTGCAGGGTGTTGCTGCCCATGGCAGGGGGTGGAATGAGATGAGCTTTAAGGTCCCTCCTAACTCAAACCCATCTGTGATTCCATGATGTCCATCCACAAGTTGTCTCCACTTTTCAGTACCTTCTACCCAAAACATGCCAGACTAAAAGATGCAGTTTTACCCAAATTATTACAAAGATGAACAGAACCACAAACAATCAGTCTGATATCAATTCATAACTGAAGGAGAATGTTTCAAGCGAGCTGCCAAGCATTCAAACCACTGTTTTTAAAAAAAAGCCCCAGATCACAGGACTGTGTTTCCAGTCAGCACACAAGAAGAAGGCAGGAGCATGCAGCCAGCCAGGAATGTGACATCACTGCAAATCCAACAAAGGCGGTCTCTCCACGCGCTCTGGGGCTGCAGCCCGGGAAAGGGGAAGAGAAAAGGCTTGGAAAACAAAACTCCAGCCTCAGCTCTAAAGCCTCCAAAATACCAAAGGGAAGGATCCCTTCAGGCCAACTCTGCCCATTCAAGGCTATTAAGAGAGACAGTTATCACAGTGCCCTTGAGGGCACAGATCTCTCAGGAGCCAGACTGGGATCATGGTATGATCACACTCACTTCTCACGAAAAGCATTTCTGCACCGAGTTGTCATCTCCACAATACTCCAACACTGATGAAAGGGAGCAGGAAATGTCAGCCCCTGTGCCAAGCACAGAAAGTGAAACACTCCAGAATGGAGCGGACGCACGTGGGAACCTCATCAAAGCTCAAAACCTATCCCAAACTTAAATCTTAAGCTTTTTACATGGAATCCCAGACAGTTTGTGCTGGAAGGGACCTTAAAGCTCATCTCCATCCATCCCCTACCTCCTACCATGGGCAAGCCCCATCCCACCTGGCCTTGGACATTTCCAGGGACGTAGCATCTATCACCTCTCTTGCAGCCTGAAGACTGGTAGATCCAACCTGCTCTTCTTGATGGAGTAAAGAAGCAAGGACATGCCAAAATGACATTATGCAATCCTTTTTTTGAGAGCCTGTGGAACAGTCTGCTCCAGACAAACTTCACTGAAACTTTCAGTGTACCAAGCTATGAAAAAACCCACAGGCATCTGAAGAATAAAAGAATTGCTGTGTCATCAGGAAAGGCAGCTGCCCATGAGCTACAGAGGTCGTGGTGGGAGACCCATGTCTGCAAATCCTCAAACCCTCAATGGCTCCATCCGTTGGGGCCAACTATAATGCTCCTTTGTTAAATACACAGGAATAACCAGCCTGCTGACTCCCAAGAGTCCAGTGAGTCATGAGTGGGGATTATCAGCCATCTGTAGTCTTTGTGAAGTCCCAAAATGTCAAATGAATTCCACTCTTTCTTCTTGGTTCAGTCAGGTCTGAATTTAAGTCACTCCTGCCACTCCCTGAGCCAGAGGAAGACCAGGAGAAGGCCTCTTACCATGGGGAGGTTCAAGTAGGAGCATCTCAAATTCTGCTCTGTGAGCAGTGAACCTGCTCCAACAGCTGGAAGTGCTCCAAGCCAGGTTGGATAGGGCTTGGAGTAACGTGGTCCAGTGGCAGGTGTCCCTGCCCACAGCAGGAGCTTTAGGTCCTTACCAACCCAGCCCACTCTATGATACCATTATTCTCAGAACCCTCCAGCAAAAGGGTAGTTATAGATCAGTTTTAAACTTTTCTAGCCATTTTTTTAATGTCTGCTCCCAAGATGAAGGAGAAAAGTAGGAACACCACATTGATTAACTGTCCATCACAAAAACCCTCGTGAGAGTTTTTGAGAGCCCTCGTGTGCCCTTTGTCAAGGCACATTTCACCTTTGCACAAAGGCAACGCTTCACTTCTAAATATTAAAGCTCAGTAATGGTTACTTAGCTTAAACACACCCCCAAAATGGGAGAAAAGATACTTTTTTACCCCCTTGGACAAAGGAATGAAAATATCTCCAGCTGACTCCAGTGACAACACAATGTGTTTACTTATTTGTGACACAACAGGCTGCTCGCAGATGCTGTTCAAGGTGCTGTGAATTCTCACCCAACCCTACAACAAGAGGGAATGGAGGGACCAAGTGTGGTGCGATGCTCAGTGTTCCTAATCTGAGGGATACAAGAATATTAGAGGCAGAAACAGCCAAAACAAGAAAAGAACTTATGTATTCTGAAGAATGTAAGAGGAAAAATTTTGTTTCTCTTTACCAGCCACAGAATAGAATTCAGAATTCCTGAATATCCCATTTAGATCCCATATAACTACACCAGAGTCTGAGAGAAGCTGATGGAGCTGTGGCTTCTCCAAAGCATCACATAAGGTCCCAGGTTGTGAGGGGTCTGAGGAAAAGCTATTGGGAATCTCCTATGGAGAACTGCAGCTCCTGCCATACAAGAACCAGCACGGACACAGGCACTCAAGAAGGCAGTAAAAATCCCCTGGAGTCATGGGTCAGCACTTTGCTGTGGAATCAGTGCTCCAGCTTAAGGAATGACATCTGGAGATGAACCTGCACCCACACACTAAATGCCCAGCTCTGCTCTGGACAACTCTCACACAACCACAAGTCATTAAAGCACTTACAAACCATCAGAATAAAGTACAAACCTATCTTCCAGGAATGGAATAGAAGAAAAGTCAATCATTTCCTAGATTAGGACACCCATTAGCTTCTCCTACATTATTTTGACATAAATAAATAAAAAGTGAAAGAAACTCTGAGTGTGCATCTTAAAGTATTGAAAACCATTCCAAGAGCTGCCTTTTAACGACAAACATCATGTACTGACCTCTGCCAATTTGTATGGTAAGATCAGCTTCTCTCCCACTGTCACTGTCTTCCTGGTCACCAGGGCCTCAAACAGCATCTCTTCTTTCACCTAAAACAAAAGTACAGATGTTAATGATTATTGTAGTGATTTTTTTATTTTATTTTAAATCCAGTTTAAAACACGCTAACATTTAAACTTTTTTAAAAAAAATTAAAATTCAGTGCAAACACATTCAAATTTCAAAGTTTAATTAAAAAAAAAAAAAATTAAACCACTTTGCCAGTCCTTGCAGAGTTAAATTCAATGGGTAAAAACATGCCATTGGGAGGAGCCAACTCAGCACATAAATCCAGCATCAGAAACCTAACACCAGGGTATTCAAAGGAACCTGATTTTCTGCATTCAGGAATCCTGGTTGTAACAATTTCCCATTGCTTTCCTTATTTCTGGTGTGGCTCCTCCGTCACACACTTTCTCTTGGCAAAATAAGTCAACTTTCTAGTGCTGTCAAGATGAAATCATACAAATTACTCTAGAATATGCCAAGCAGTGTCATCAGTTTCAGAGATATCCAAGTGAAGGAGGGGTTTTTTGCGCTTTTAAGGGTGGGGAGGAGTCAGAAGGAGGAAGAAACCCTTGGGAAAGCACCTGATATTTACTCTGCTATTGGCACTGGATGTTTACTCCCTGAAGCCCCAGCTCCTGGCAAGGTGACAGTCTCTAATCAGCCCTCACAGGTTCGCAGAACAGAACTCAGTTGTGTAAACACAGACACCTCAGCAAAGAGGAAAAGGGTGCAGACAAATTAAGTGGTACCTGTGGCTGTGGGGGAAAAGCCACTTTCCCAATCAGCTTCAAGACCCTCCTACTTTGAGGAATTCAGAAGACTACAGAATACATCACTTAGACCTAAAGACTTTCAGTTGTTGACTAATCTTCACTAAATTTCCAAGTCAAAAATGACATCACGAATCTGGGTGAAAACCTTGGAATTCAGAAATAATGGATGTGGACTGACACAGAGAAGCTGCACTGAAGTCTCTACAAACTGCTTATCCTGCCTGAAGGAATCCATGCAGGCACCAGACCTCCTCTGGACATCTCTGATTGTTCAAAATCCACGTTCCTGAGGCCACCCAAAGCCATATTTTTATCACAGGGAAAGCATTTATGATTTGACATGGAAAATGGGAAATGTAGAGGTCTAACAATTAGACTCAATGATCTTAGAGGTCTTTTCCAACCAAAACAATTCTGTGTACGTATTTTGACTTCAGGGTTTAATTCAGGAATGAAGAGGAAGTGCAAACAAGACAGTGGAAAGTCAGGAATCTCAGAAACCATAGCAATAATGATGCCCTTCTGTACAAAAATCAATTTCTGCCAAAACTGCTATCATGGGAGTCTCCCTGATAAAATCCAGGGAGTTTTTATATAACCGATTCTTCCTGCAACAAGAACTTGTGGCTGTGGAAGTCAGAATACATCAATCTGTATATGATGCCACCTGCCAGCAAGGTCTCTGTCACTGGAAATGACACTTCAAGGTTCATTTTGTTAGTGATCAGCACAACCCAGGAGCCCCCAGTTCCTACAATCTGATTTTACCTTTCAAAATCAAGCAGGGAAAAAAAGAATCTCCTGGTTCATCCAGAGATCCACAGCAAGACTTCACATTTGGTTTCTATTCCTCTACATTCACCAGATGATGTGATTTTGTAATTTCCAGCTCTGCAGACACTATTCCAGCAGTTCTCGACTGCGGGACCATCGGCTGCTCTCCCTCAGCTGCACAGTTTGGAACAAAAGTGAGTTTCACACCATCCATTATCCCACTTCAGGGATGCTGCAAACCCACAGCCAGCGTGCTGGCTTTTTTTAATTATCCAAGGCAATAAGGCAGAGGGGTGTCAGATGGTTCCTAATCAAAACAGTCCAAAGAAATATTCCTCAACAACATAAACACTTCCAAGTTTCAGATTTGTCAGCAAACACAGGGATTTTAAGCAATTTAAACAACTACCCACGCCATCCCTCACATCCCCATCTCACGGTCACTCTGGTTCTTTCTCCCCCTGCTCTCTGGATGGAGGGAACCTGTGGATGTGCATCCTTCACCTCCTGACCTGGGGAGATCCCACTGAAGCATCTCCTTGTACAAAACCACTCTTGGCAAGGACAGGAATCCCTGCATCTCCCCAGGCCCCTGCCTGCAATTGCCACCCAGTGGAGCTTGATCTCGATTCCTTCATCGCCTCTGATGAACACCACGGGTGCAACCAAATCATCCTGATCTGCACTCAAGGTCACAGCGTGCAAGTAGCTGACTCCTGATGCCAGGGAGGAGCCACTGGAGCTTTCTAAAGATAAAATCAGCATGTGCCGATGACTAAGGACATGGAGATACTTGCAGCTTCCCCACATCCTACACTTCCTCCTCCATGAAACACTAAAATAGGGACACCCATTGGTGCAGAGCAGCAAAGAGGAGAACACCACTCACTCCTTTACTTTGTGCCTTAGGAGTTTCACTCTTGGGTCACATTTCATGGATTTTTGCTTCCTGGTGCTAAAGGGCATGGCCCGCTCTCCCTCTTAAACACGGCAACTCCCGCAGTTTAGATCTCTGTTACAGGGACAAAATGAGGATTTAAGACTTCGCTGCCACAAGTGGGCCCAGAGAGGGCTGGAGACCTCAAGCTCCATGAGCCAGTGAGGGGTGAGCAGCAGCACCACAGCTGGGAACGTCAGCGGAGCACAGCGAGAGCAGGGAGCCAGCAAGGGCTGGGCTGGAGCCAAGGCAGGCACAGACTGCTTCTCCAGTAATTCTGGGGTATTATGTTAGAGCAGCTGAAGAAAAATGAACCATTTCCAGCTGGAGAGAAAGAAAACATCAGGTTTTGTCTCTCCTTCCATATTTGAGAAAGGGATTACTGAGTGCTCACTCTAAAGATGCCTTGTGTGGAGTAGCTGAAAATAAATTCAGATTTCTATCAGCTCTTCTTGGAAAAGAGCTGAACCTTTTCCTCAGACTTTCTTTCAAATAACCAGAGAGTTAAAAAGGATGTGAGGGAACAGCTGGAGCTGAGGGAACAGCTGGAGCTGTGTTAGGGAGGTTTGGGTTGGAAGAAGTTCTTCCCTCAGAGGGGGCTGGCACTGCCCAGGGTCCCCAGGGAATGGTCACGGTCCCAAGGCTGCCAGAGCTCAGGGAGTGTTTGGACAATGCTCTCAGGCACAGGGTGGGATTGTTGGGGTGTCTGTGTAGGGCCTGTGTCTCCACAGGTCCTGGAGTTACACTCAATGGTATTTGTGGATCCCTTCCAACTCAGCACATTCTGTGATTCTCTGAAGTTTTCTGTCCCTAATTCTGGCTCAAAATTTTGCATCCAATGATGATATCCCTACTCATTGCAGGGATGTTGGACTAGATGAACTTTGGAGGTCACTTCCAACCCAAATCATTCTGTGATTCTACAAAACATCATCTGGAAAACAAATCCAGAAGAAAAAGCTGGAAGCAAGCAAGCACTGTCTGCTTCATAATCTTCACCCCCTCCCCAATTAATTTCCAAGACATTTATCACAGGAGGAGCCCCAGTGCCTGTGGGATCCCTCTGGGAAGCTGAAGGCCATTTTTTAGTGGAAGAACTTGTGCACATAAATCTCCCGGAGAGGCCAACTTCAGCTCCAAACACAAATGTGCACTGGGAGATCTGGCAAAACTAATTTAGGGCACTCGATAACTTGTATTTACCTTTATTTGCACTGAGGTTAGGTATTGCACTGGTTACCTAAACCTAAAAACTGAACATAAAACTGTTCCACTGAGCAAAGACAGAATTTATCTCCTTCTTCAATGCTCCATCCATGAAAATGATTTCCCATTTTAATAAACACACACAATTAAAATGTTCCTACTCTTCCAACAGAAAACAAAAAGTCTCTTTTAAGGTCAACTAGATAATTTCTAATATATTATTTTTGTTAATAAGCCCACAAATTAACTTTTCCAAGCTTTTCCCCCAGAAACACAAGGGTTTACCCAGTTTTACACAACTCTCTATGATTTCTGCCCAGGCCCTGGGATATTTCCAGCGCTTGCACAGGACTCCACGTCTGCTTGATCCATCAGGCAGCCTTGACATCACTCCTTAGCACAGTATTTCAGCAGAGTTTAAACAAAGGCCCTGAAAAACCTGCCAAAAGCATCACATAATCCACACTCTATGTCTATTCCTGAAAAAAAAATAAAAAATGGAATTAGAGTTTTACTGTAAATGAAACAATGATCTGCAGAGTCTGGCCAAAATCCTATATTGCAGTTTCAACAAATGCTGTTCTGGATGGTTTAATAAAGCAAAAACAGATTGGGTGGGGTTGTTGATATCTAAGAAAAAGCAAATCCATTGTAGATCATCATGTCCTCCCAGATTCCTTCAGAAAATCTCTGTATTAGCTTCTTTTTATAGGGACACAAATCTCATTACACAGAGGGAGAACAGTTGTGCAGAGGTGCTGCATTAACTGGTGCAGCAGGGAAATTCCCCCAGTTATCATTAGAGGTTCCAAGAATAAACCAACCAGCTCATGAGAATTTGGGCCAGATTGCCCTTCACAGTGGGAGAAGACAGCAATTTTGCCTGTTCCTAATTTCACTCAGGCTGGTGGCCCCCCTCCTGCCCTTGAAGGCTACATCCCCATTGAGCCAGGCTGGAGCACCTCTGCATCCTCTCTTGGCTGCTCTCAGAGATGGTCCACACAGCTCTGGTCAGATTTTTTCCTTCTCTTTTCCATGTCAAAGCTTGACTGAACAAATCCAGTGAGTCATTTGAGTATAAAAATCAACCCAAAAGTTCCTCCAAGATAAGGAAGTATCAGATCACAGTTTCTTCCATCCTTTTGCTGTGCTCTGGATGGTCCCACCACACAGCCAGTGACCATAGGAAAGGAAGCTCAGCTCTGTCAACTTATATTTACTTTTATTCTGAGATGATTTCTCAGTTATTAGTGTCTAATGCCAAGATCTGGAGAGAGGATTAACAACTTTTCAAGCCAATATGTAATTTTAGCAACAATGGGAAAAGCAAAACTGTTCAGTGACCACAAAAAAGGAGAATGTAATAAAAATAATTACCCAAATGAGATAAAATACAAAGTGTCAAATGTTTTAACCAGTATTTTGGGTCTCTGGCTGAGTAGAACTCATTGAACTTAATGTGGAGAGTTGTAAGTAGCCCTAAAGAGTGGTGGCTGCTCTTTGTAATCATCTGTTTCATTTGTTTGAACCCTTTGGTTCTTCCTTTGGGTCAAACCTGAATAAGCAGCAACATCTGTTGAGGTCTGCAAAGAGAAACATGGCATTTCATAAATGCCAAAAAATCAAGTCTAAAAATGAGATTATTTGCTTTATTTCAGTGGGTCTATTAAAAGGTTTATACTTGGAGGCAGCAAATACTTCCAGTTCCAGTTCCCAGTTCCGGGGACAAACAACACCACTCACCCAAAGCCAGTGGTGCATTTCATCAGATCCCACTTCAGTGCAGCAAGCATTGTCCTGATCTAATTAACAAGTATTTTATGTTCTAGATGGTCATTTAATTTGCAAAAAGAATTACCAAGATGAACAGCAATCTATCAATTTGCTCAGCTACATCAGATCCCAGTGGTTTGGTTTGTTTGTTTTTTTTCCCAAATGGTGAAAAACAAATATTTATTTTTACATCTTGTTCACACTGCCTGTGGGTGCTGTTCCAGCCCATGGCATTAAGGCACTGTTGGACTGACATGGCTCAGCCAATGCCTCATTTCACAGAATTATGTGTAAAAACCACCCCACGACCTCCCCACGTGCAGATGTTGCAAAAGGGTTTGTTTGCAAAGGCAAAGACCCAAAGCCTGGAACTTTTTCAGATCTCTAAGTTGCTCTCTTACTCAAAACTTTTTTTAAAAACAATTACTTAACTGACTTGGCCACATTTGACAGAGTAAATCCACAACATTCTCCTCCCCACTTATATTTTCTTCCTGTTTATTTCAGCAATCTCCAAGGCCAAGATGCAAAGAGCATCCAGCTGCTCAGACCATATTTTACAGAAGCTTTCCCCTCCCTAATTTCAAAGCATTAATGAAGTGCCATGAAAATCCCTGAGAGCCAGTTCCCAAGTTCTGTAGGTAGGGAGATAACACAACAGTTATTTAATGGAAAAAGTGGGAAGAGCACCACGTGTACACCAAAGAACAAGCTGCCTTCTGATCCTACCATAAAATCAGCACAAATTCACCTTCCAGACTACCCATCATGTACAAAAGGGTAAAGATAATTGTTGCTATAATCAACTACAAGAAAAACGTTTCAGTTGCAAGAGGTTTAGAGCATTTCAAGTGAAGTGAGACAGCAAGGGGAGCTTCTGGCAACCTCAATCCATGTCAGGAGGTTTTTGAGCTCAGCTCTTGAAGGCTGAAGGCCAGCAGGACAAGTTGGCTCATTCAAGACTTTTCTCATGAAAAGAAGTAACACAGCTCCATAACCTGCTTGGGCTGACAGAGCAGATCTCCCAAGAACTTATTTAATGCTTTTGCACTGATTTGCAGAGCTGGACACGGCCTAAGTCAGACCTACAAACCCTTCCCAAGGGACGCCAGCACAGCAGTGGCTCACAAAGGCCAAGGTACCAGGTCCTGAACAGGAAAAAAGCAACAGATGCACCGAAGAACTCCATAACAGGCCCATAAATAGGGACTAGAGGGATGAGATGGATCTCCAGCATCCCAAACCCAACCCTTGTGGAATCTGGCAGGTAAAAACAGACAAAAAACACGGTGAGGGAGCTCAGCACCTCCTACAGCCATCAGGGAACCAAAACACGGGGCTGTGGTTGTACAACAGCTCGAGTTCCTCAGACAGACTTTGGAACACATTTGAGGAGCACCAGCTGATAGCTGGCAATTGAAGACACTGCCGTGCTGGACAGCAGGTTTGCTTCACATCTGCACCCTGCAACCTTTCACATTTGATCACAGAAACAGGGTTTTCAGCCAATGAAACCTGAGGGTGAAGAGCGGGGGCAAAAACCCTACATGAAAATCCTCTTTAAAAAAGTTCATGTACATTTTCCCTGACAAACATGAACAGCCCATCGGCATGGAAACACACAAGAACTTAATTTTTAATAAAACTGGAAATAAACTGCACATGTTTTGGGACCTAAATCAGAGGTGGCTTGTTTGGTGTGACAGTTTCAGGAGGGAAAGCAGAGCCTTACCTCCAGCAGCTCTGACACAACAGGAAGTATTTCAGGGTTGCAGATATCGATGGAGTCATCCCGGTACGTCTTCTTCTTGTACCGGATGTTCCCCAAGTGCAGGATTGCTGACAGCAGAGAGAAAATCCTAAACAGACAGAATTAATTTTCACTTGGGTTTTTCATAAAGTGAACAAAGAAGCAAATTTCACCCCCAAGGGCCACGTCCCTCTTTGGCTCATTCTTCTGATTTTCAATCCAAAGCACCCACTTTGCCTCGTGTCAAAAAGATTTTTATTTAGTCAAGTACCAAACTTGCATTCATACAGTTTCCTTGAAAATTCTTTAACACATCAAACACACAGTTACAAAATTACAGCCCATGTAAGAAAAACAGAAATCCTTCAGTAATCTTGATATCCAGATTAAATATTTATCATATAATTGCCTAAATTAAGGGGTAGAGTAGGACTGAGAGATATCTCTCAGTCCTCTGGGACATGTGTTTTTGTCACCTTCTTGTATCTAGTCCCAGCTAGGAAAAAAAGACTGTCTAAAACAGCATAAATGCTTTTATAATATCTAAGCAACTGAGACAAAGAAAAAAGTATTACACTTCAAGTAAATTTATCCAACCAATTTTTCTGTTTTAGAGGGAATTTGGTCATTTGAAAGTTATCTCCCCCTCCAGAAAACCGCAGGATCAGACACTCAAAGAATATGCTGGGTTGGAAGGGATCCACAAGGTTCATCAAGCCCAACTCCTGAGCCATGGCTGACTTCAGCTGTAAACCCTGTTTGTCTCTATTTCTACACTCTCTTGGGAGCTAAAAATGAATAAACCCGAATGTGATTC